ACAGCAGCAACAACAACTACAACAACAACAACAACCACAACAACAACAACAACAACAACAGCAACAAGAACAACAACAACAGCAACAAGAAGAACAACAGCAACAAGAACAAGAACAAGAACAAGAACAAGAACAAGAACAACAACAACAGCAACAGCAACAGCAACAGCAACACCAACAGCAACAGCAACAGCAACAACGGCAACGACAACAACAACTTTAACGACAAGAACAACAACAGCAGCAACAAGAACAAAAACAACAACACCAACAACAAGAAGCAGCACAACAATCAAGAGTATCGGAATGCAGCAAATACAGTGCAACTTGAGAGTTTGAAGTGAATGTGACAAATACCATTTTTTGAACATGAGAATTAAAATGCCAAAACGTGCAAAATTACAGCCCAAAGCACCTAAATGTAGCAAATAGATGCACATACCATAGAAAATTCACAAGTTTTAGGTTGAAACAAATAGCAAAGCGTGGCAGAAACCATGCAAAATGAAAACCAAAGCACCAAAATGTTGCAAATGCCATGGAAAATCATAAGTTTTTTACGCAGAAACCATGCGACAAACCTGCAAAACAGCATACAAATCACACCAGGCACGAAACCCAAAAAAAAATCCAAAACTGTAAAAAAAATGCCAAAAACAATTCTGCACCCATTTTAATTTTCCCGGTGTCAGGTGCAAATTTCAAAATTGCATCATCTCAAGCATGAGTGCAAACACAGCCCAAGAGCAAGGCACCCGCGAGCTTTCCTCCGAGTGGAGAGTGTGGGCCACGCTAGTGCTAGCGTGGTGCAGAAAGTTCGGGGCTTGTTTCCTGGTCTTTGGAACTTGGCTGAGAAGCTGCATTACACATGCATGCCAATGGTTGCTAGGTGCTGTCTACGCAATTTTGTTCCCCAGCGTGCAGCACTGTAATGTACACTGTTGTAGATTCATAGCTCATCGCAGATATAAGCCAATCAGGTTTGGTAGTGGAACATGTCGCACGGAGATCATTCTTGTAGCCAGAACCCGTGTGCGATTTTGGCACTTTTGGATTGGAATGCTTCCTGGTTTCTGCTGTCGTGTCCGGCAGCTTTGCAGTCAGTGCTGGTTTGGCACGGGGCCTGTCACACACACATGATTGCTCCGTCAGCTGCGATGAAGTTTATCAGCAGCATGGTTTGCATCATGCCCTCCCCCCAATCCCCCCTCCCGCTCTTTTAATATTAAAACCCAAGCTCGTAAATACATTAGTTGGGGTTGGCATGATGATGAGCTGACAGGGTAACATGTGAGAAGAGGTGCTTGCATTCTGCTTTGGGGGGAGGCGCTGCGCCCTCCCCCCAATCCCTCCCACCCGCTTTTTATCTAAACCCCAGTTACATTAGTTGGGGTTGACAGGTTGCGATTTTTGCGAACTAACCTTCTCTTGAAAGCTGACAGCGTTACATGTGAGAAGAGGTGCTTTCATTCTGCTTTGGGGGGAGGCGCTGCGCCCTCCCCCCAATCCCCGCCTCCCGCTTTTTTATATTAACCCAAGCTCGTTAATACACTAGTTGGGGTTGGCATGATGATGTGGTGAACATGATGGTGTGAATTCTAACCATGACCATCGTCCGCAACTTGCATTTTTGCGAACTAACCTTCTCTTGACAGCTTGATGTAGTGAAGGTGGCCATGCCAGAATGTATCAAATCCCTTGGGGTTGGCATGATGATGTGGTGAACATGCCAACATGTAGCAAATCCCATACAAAATGGAAGGTGAACACGCCCACATGTAGCAAATCCCATACAAAATGGAAGGTGAACACGCCCACATGTAGCAAATCTCATGCAAAATGGAAGGTGAACATGCCAAAATGCAGCCAATCCCATGCCATGCAAAATAGAAGGTGAACACGCCCACATGTAGCAAATCCCATGCAAAATGGAAGGTGAACATGCCCAAATGTAGCCAATCCCATGCAAAATGGAAGGGGAACACGCCCACATGTAGCAAATCCCATGCAAAATGGAAGGTGAACATGCCAAAATGTGGCACCATACAAAATGGAAGGTGAACACGCCCACATGCAGGAAATCTCATGCAAAATGGAAGGTGAACGCCCAAATGTGGCAAATACCCTGCAAAATGACAAATTCAAGGTCCAAACCGTTGCAAACACTAGGCAAATTGTACCAGCCAAGAAATCAAAAAAAAATCCCAAACCTGCTCAAAAAAAATTCCTAAAACTATTTCACACCCCTTTTTCAGCCATCGCGCTTGTGTACCGAATCCGACATGCGCAAATGGAATCATGTAGCTGGTACTAAAGCAAAGGTGTGCATGCGGCGCCGCCTGGCGGGTTCACAGCGGGAAGCCTGGCAAGCGCAACGTCAAGCTGCTTTTGAGTGGGAAGTCTCTGCTATCCGACTTTGTGCTGAAGTCGGTCGTCTGTACCATGAGCATTTAGGCTTGCTTACCGACCTGTCATGATTGTCAATTTACCCCTTTGGAATACCAATGAAAAATGTTGAGCTTGCTTTTGGGTGCCTTTTAGTTGTGATTCTTTAACCCATAATGTCTCATTGCACTAGTACCTGTGTGGTGCTATCCTCACATTTTGTAAATGCTAGTTTCCAGCTGCCTGGCTGGCCTCGTTTGCTGTGCACGAGGGTGCCGTTGTTCGCTCTCCCTCCATTTCCTAGTGTAATGCAGCCGGCACCCATGGGCTTTGTGCCTCCTCTTCTCGGCTTCAGGTACTTTGATGGCCAGTACACCTGGCCTCCGCACGAGCAGCAAGGGGGTCTTCCGATCGCACCCTACTGTTCATTGCAACAATAGAAAGCCCAAGAGCAAGAAGATCAGCCTGAAGAAGTATTATTTGACACTTTGAAAAAGGATGGCAAGCTCACTTTTCGCAATTCCTTTGCGTGCCGTCGTAAGCGCTGTGCTGAAGCAGAATGCAAAGTATGCGGAGGTCACAGCCCTGTCTGTTTTCCCATCAAGCGGCCTTTCAAGTCTAAGAAGGTACTATTGATTCTTGATGCACATCTGCAAGGATTGCTGTGCTTCCAATGGACACAGAAGGTTGGCAACTTGCCGAGGCAAGGCAGCAGATCTCACCGCTCCCAGTGTTGGTTTCTGGCGAAAGTTCAGCAGCCTCAATACCTTTGAGTACATGGCGGAAAAGCTTGACTCCAAGAAAAATCGAATTGGTGCAGTGCGCAATGCTTTGAAGTGAAGACCTGACCCATGGTTGCTTGCACCCATGGGCAATGATCCGAGGTGGGGTTCACTCACCGCCATCTTAGACACAACATTTGCAAAGCATCAATGCAGGTGGTTGGTGTGGCTTGTGGAAACTTTTAAACAAAGGAAAAGCCAGATGTTGTTGCCGTTCAGGATATACATTGCAATGATGACCTATGGAAACTTGTGGACAGAAAGTTGGATAAGCTTGGATGCCGCAGTTTCCGTGCGGCAAAAGCAAAAAAACAGAATCGTGGAGCCGCTTTGCAGTGCGCAGTTGTTTTGGGCCTGCCTTGCGATGAACAAGTCCAGGGGTAAAGGACAAGCGGTAGCAGTTTCGATTGGCGACGCTCTCGTACTTTCTTCTTATTGCACAAGTGGTGAGGAGTTTACGTCTCTGCATACTGTTCTGTTGCATGATTGGTTTTTGGAACTTGATTGTTAAGGTCAATAGATTTGCACTGGAGAGTGGGATGAGGAATCTAACAGCAGTTGGAGGTTTGATGTTGCATGGGTGTCTGCCACTCGATGGTAGTGTCGTAAGGTCATTGTTTTTTCAGGTCCAATGTCCCTCGTGACAACGCCGATGTGAGAGAAGAGCAGATCAGCGATCACAAGCTCATTTTAACCTCTGTGGACATGGATGTCCACATCATGCCTGAAAACCGTCAATGTAGATCAAGAAGTTCGAAGGCGCCGAGTGGCTTTCTTGGGAGGAATGAAAGTTCTCTTTCAATACTATACGTTAATGTACTTTTGCGTACTTATACTCAGTGCTACGCTGCATGTGATATGTTCATGTACACTTGCGTACTTACTGGCTGCTAGGCCGTGGTGCGTTCATGTACACTTGCGTATCTACCTCATGCTACGCTCTGATAGGTTGATGTACACTCGCGTACTTGTATTCAATGCTACGCTGCATATGATATGTTCATGTACACTTGCGTACTTACTGAATCCTGCGCTGTGATAGGTTGATGTACACTTGCGTACTTGTACTCAATGCTACGCTGCATGTGATACGTTCATGTACACTTGCCTACTTACTGACTGCTACGCTGTAATCTCTTGGGAAGACAGTCCAGAACCATAGTAGCTGGGGCACAACAGTTAGATTCCACGTGGCGTCACTTGAAGAGGTGGTGTCCTCAAAGTTTGCAGCTAAAGGTGAATTCGTCAGTAAATGCCACGCGGTACACATGGGCATACTCCTATATGGGGAGGCACAATGCCAAGTGTGAGAGCAGTTTGACATTGAGGAGCTTCAGCAACACCCTGTGGCGCTGATGTTGAAAAATACTGAAGTGGCTGCTCATATCATTTACTCAACACAATTACTGTATTATTATTATTACTATTATTATTGTTATTTTTTTCAGCCCTTCGATCAAGGCCGTGCCCTGCTTTTCAACGATGTTCTCAGCAAGATTTCGCTTGTGCAACAACACAAACCGTCCGTACAATGTTGAAACTTGGACAGAAAAGAAACTGGTTAGCAACCCTGAAAAGAACCCAACGCATTTCATACGCATAAATTTGTTTTCCAAAAACAACATCGAACTAGAAAAAAATGAAATGAACAAAACCGCTGACAGGAGGCAAAGCAATAAACACGATGAAAAATGATGGAAACGCAAAGACACGAACGTGGAACTGCAAGTGGACCATGTTGTGGTAGGACTCATTTCGTAATTTCTGAGAGGTTTGCGGGCGTGGTTACATTTTTTTTGCCGTTTCCCCGATTGTCCAAACCACATTTCGGAGGTGGCCACTTTACTCGTGCACTCACACGCTCCTTGGTGATCAATGGTCATTGGCGTGTGTCAATGGTGATGAAATGTGTGCATCAGTGCCAGACTTCACAGACCATGTTGGATATAAACATCCAGCAAAAAAATTGGCGTGGGGTTTGGATTTTAAGGATCAGTACAGGAACTGCAAGCACAGCTTGGCTTGGACGCAAACTACAGTGTGGTTTGGAGGAATTTGGACTGTGTGCGTTGGAACTACACAACCGCAAACCGGATACAATTGTTTTGGCAGAATCCATTGTATCATATTTTGATGATTGTTAGCACTTCACTTCAGTGTGCTGAGGTTGGCCAGCTGTACAACAAAACCCTTGAAAACTATGAGGAGAGCAAGAATCAGGGACACTTGTTTCAGCCAGATACGCAAGTCCCGTGGACTTCTTGGAGGAGGGCTGAGGAGGGTATATAATGGTATAATATGTATATATATATATTTATTTAAAAGATTCTTTTGTGTTTTTCAGTCTAGGGCAGTTTTCCTTTCTATTTGCTGCATTTTGGAACTAAAATCTTTGATTTGCGTGCTCTTTGCTGCATTTTGGAGCTAAAATCTCTCATGTGCATGCCCTTTTTGTTGGCTTTTTGGCTTTGGTTTCACTTGGCTTTTGGCTTTTGTTGGTTTTTGGTTTTTGGTTTGCGTGGCTTTTTACCTTATACGCACTTTTGTTGAATGTGTGTGTGTGTGTAGGATTGTAGTTTGCATATAACATTTCATAATTTCATATAATACACCGCATATGAATTACATGTAAACTGCACAGAAACTACACACGTAATATTGACTTATATGCATGCTGGTGTGAGAGGAATTGAGACCTATTTTTCCCAAAAGCATCTCCGATGCTTGGGTTCTCGTTTAGTTGCACTCACCGCGGGGGAGCGAGACTGAGTGTTCGACGGAGATGTGTTGGACGGAAGGAAGGAGGAAGGAAGGAAGGGACGGAAGGGAAGGAAGGGAAGGAAGGGAAGGAAGGGAAGGAAGGGAAGGAAGGGAAGGAAG